TATCAGATATGGTAATCGGCGGCTGATCCATTGCTTCCGGAGGTAGCATTGGGAGATTGTCCAGAAATACCTTCTTTGATTGTTAAGCAACTCATTTCAAAATATATCCACGAAATGCCTTTTGAATTTTGATGACTGCAATTTCTTCATTCTCCTCGATCTATTCTTGGAGCAAATGTTTAATGTTCTGGCATGATTCTCGTATCGCAGCATAATTATGTTTTAATTGTTGCGCATGTTGCTGGTATGCGGATGACGTCCTAACTCGATTTTGACCCGCGTCTAAAACACCGACATTTGATGTGATGTGATTGGGAGATCCCATTTGTGGATCCATGAGTTTGGCTATGTCTTGTCAGAGCAAGGCAAATTGTTGATTTTGATATACATGCAATTGTGTCAAGGATTCTTCCAAACTGATATATTATTATTCGTGCACTGTTCTAGCGACTTGGAGTTGTTGTTTCTGGTTCTCCACGTGTTGGTTCAAGTTCCTAAGGCGGGTGTTTTCCGCCATGGAGGATGAGATCATATGAAAGCACCAATGTTGTAAACGAAATTAGAGAGATGGAGATATTAGAGATAAAGAAGACTTTGGAGTGAAATATTGAGACTTAAGGAAGGATACTTGAATTATTTTCTTCATTTTAATTGAGTTCCAATTCTCAATGAAAGCACCAATATTGCAATAAAATTAAAAAGATAGAGAAGAGATATTAGAGATAGAGAGATTCGGAAGAAAGGATTAAGGGAATAATGAGACATTAGGAGAGTTTTTGAATTATTTTCTTCTTCTTTTTTCATGTGCTCAATGAGCTAACAATTTATAGAATTACAATCATGGTTATCAAAATCGCGTTTTATATCATAGGATTGTACAACCCTACGATTTTTGACCCAAAAACGATCCAAATTGAAAGTAGGATCGAGATGAAGTGGGGTCGTATGAGATCGAAGTGGAAAATCATAAAATTGATGGGATCATGCGATCCCACCATTCTAGTGTTTCAAAGAAAAAATAAATCCAAAAACATCCAGCAACCAAACCAGTGACCCAGAATAGATTAAAATGTTAAAAACCTAATTTCAAAAAAGTAGAAACCATATTTTTGTGATTTCCCTTTTGTTTATGATTTTCCTTTCATCACTAATGTGCGACCGTTCTCTACAGTGTGACTTTCTCTTATTTTCTGTAGGAGTTGGTTCTTCGACTGGTTATGCATGTTATGCGACCTTCAACTAAGTTCGTCTTTTGTTTGGCCAGCTTCTCGTAAATCGTTTTTTCAAAAGTAGGTTCTATCTTTTTATTTATGGGGATTCGATCGGTCATGTTACAGAAGGAGAGGTGGGGTTCCTGCAAACACAAAATTTTATGGGACTTACCACTTTAATTAAAAATAGGAAACAAAATAATTTGCACGCTTTTCTACAGTGATAGGATGGTTTTTGTTTCCTGCAACATTATAGTTGCATTTTCCTTTATTTATTTGTTTTATTCTTTTTTATTATTCTTTATTCTTCCACCTCTTGGTTAATGTGGTCTAGGTTCACCTTATTATTTTTTATTTTTTCATACTGGCCCACATGGGTGTAAGAAATGTTGATTATTTTTACATTTTTCAATACAAATTTTTACTTTAAATCTGAAAAAAAAATTATTGCAATTAGCAGAGTAATTTTTTTGTATTAAATTATTCTTTATAATTTGTTATTTTTAATTAAATGATTATTTGGATTAATAGTTATTGTATATATTTGAATTAATTTGGATTAATTGTTAACATATATATATATTAAATATAATTTTATATATTCATGTTATTTTAATATTTTATATGTACAGGTACGATCTTACTATCCGCGATCTTATGATTTATGATCTTTTTATCCTCTCCCGATCTTAAGTAAAATCTCGATCTTAACAACATTGATTACAACTTCAACAAAGATTAGGAAATCCTAATTTGAATTTAAAACTAATAACACTTATAAGATAACTCCTAATAAAATAATCTAAACCAATGTTATTAAAAGCAGCTCGGTTATTGACCCGGTCGAAGTACTGGGTCACTGGTTCAATCAGTGGGTCACTGGTTCAACCGCATGACCCGAGAAGTATATATAAATCTATAATTTATATTTGAAAAATATAAATATACTTAAATACTTGTACAAAAATGATACCAATTTCAAATATTTTAACATAAAAATAATAAATTATACATCATTGTCCAACAAAAGATCAATCAAACATATAATATTTGTGATACTAGTGTTTCAGGTTTAGTAAATGACATCTCTAACTATAAATTAAATCAAAATTATTGCATATTGCATAATCAACACAATATTAGTGTTGTAGTTACATAATCTATATAAGTTAGTAAGCTACAAATCAGTTAAATATTTCAAAAGAAAATAAATCATTTGTGTTTGAAAGTAAAAAAAAAAGAAATATCATTTGATGAAAATAAATTAGTGTTTTTTTTTATAGACCGGGCCGGGTCACCGGTTGAACCGACTAGGTCACCGATTTTTACGAAAATCGGCTGTGTCGCACCGGTTCTGTAACATGGCTGGTCCAATATGAAAATCGAACGGATTACATGACCGGTTCACCGATTTTCGGGTCGACTCGGCCGGGTTGATCTAATGTTTATAACACTGAAAAATAGACTAATATAATAACAAACAACTAGGATAATAACGATAAATTTTGATCGCTACATAGTCCTTAAACAATAGTGAATATTTATAAGGATTATCCATTTGTTTTTACTTTGTAAAGTTCTTGTTGGACCGAAGAATTAACACTCAATGTCCATAAAATAAGATAATTACGAGGGGAAGAGAAATTCTTGTCTCCCTTGGGCGGATCCAGGAATTTGAAGAAGGATGTGCACTCAAATGACAAATGACAAAAATAAATCAATAAAAAAAAAAAAGAGAAACCGGCACTCAATATGCATAAACCTGTATGTACCAAAAAAATGAAAATATTAGTCTGTTACAATTTGGCTACCTCACATATTGGTCACACCCAATATAAACCAGAAACAGAAAGCAAAACGGAATGGAAATATATGTTGGGCTTCTAACCCTCAGCCCACTACAACAATTATTAATAGTGTTGACCTTACACAAGCCCATAGGTCCCCTATTGTAAATTTGCAATTACCCACTGCCGACAGAAATTAGCCACTCAATGGAGCCACATAATCCTTCAGCCAACGTGTCCTTGTCCTCACCCTATTACCTCTTCGGTGTTGATCGTTTCTTCCTTCTGCAGCACCGCTTGACCGCTTCATCTCATTGGAAGACCTCGCTATATCATTGGGAGGGTTCACATCATTAGATCTGGTCACGGGTGGAGGAGAAAACGCAAAAAAAAAAAAAAAAAATTCATAAAATTTAAGTGTGGGCACTTGTCCCCCTTCTCTTCTACTTGCATCCGCCTCTCCCGCTATCTAATTAAATAACAGTTATAGAACAGTATCTCCGGGTTCAACGATTAAGAGAGAGCGTTGGGATTTGAGTGAAGTAATGGACAGTTTTATAAGCTAGCGACCTGGCTCAGCAATATCATCCTGATTCGGGCGGAATATATTTAGATTATATGCTAAAATACATTAAGTTAAAGTTGTTAGCTTGATTTATACTATTTTCATTATACTGGATTCCGTAATTTATTTGGACACTTCTAATAAGGTATTCAATTAATTGGAACCATTTTTTTCCTTGCGCCTAGGATATGAACTCGCACGAAAATCTATTCTTATAAAAAGCCTAAAAATTATGTGACAATGTTGATTTTAGCATCAATCTGTTATGTGAGATGGAGACAATCAACTTTAATTTCCCCATCAGACTCGTAACAAATTTATGATAGTCCCAAACTGTACGTTGCTTATTGTCGGAATTCGCGTCCATCCAAGCAATTGGCTCACTCACTTCATGGAAAATTCTGTATTGCGTTTTCTCAAAAGGATCGAATAAAACCTAGTAAAACAAAGAGACATTGCATTCGTTGTACAAATTATAGAAATAAAGCCACCAGTTTATTTGCAGCGCATAAAGTGTAACCGAGTACGTAGGGTTTTTAACCAAAAAATGCAAATTTCAAAAAAAATCACTTGTTTAGTTCGATGATCAAACATTTTACCGGACTAATGCAGGAAGACACGTTTCAGTGATTACGCGTTTAGTCGCGCACCTGACACATGCGCGTTTCTGACAAATCTGAACACGTATGTACCAGGTACGTGTCTGAACACGTTTGTACCAAGTGCGTGTTTCTGACAAGTCTGACGAGCACAATACCAAGATGCGTCATATTCAGGCACGCATTCTGTGGCATAGTCGCGTCACAGTCAGAAACGCGCACCTGGTACAGACGTGTTTAGACATGTACCTGGTACATACGTGTTCAGATTTGTCAGAAATGCGCATGTGTCAGATGCGCGACTAAATGAGTAACCACCTGAAACACATCTTCCTGCATTAGTCCAGTAAAACGTGTGGTCAACAAGGTAAATTTTTTTAAAATTTGCATTTCTTAGGTCAAAACCCCAAGTATGTATGATTCTGTTCAAACATAAAAACGTGAACAATATATGAGATGTACATTTTTTTTCACATAATAGCATAGGCAAAGATATAATTTTATGTCAAATTTATTCAGTCTTTGATAAAGAAGATTGTAAAAAATTTCTTAAATTCTATCCTATTAACTTTAGAAAATACTGAGGCTAAAAGATAACAAAAATCTTTTTCATATTATTGTGCTGCTGACCAACTTTACATTAAAACCAGTGCTTCCTCGGAGTAACTTGCTGGTTGTCTCAGGTGCTATTAATTATCTAGTTACAGAATTATTACGCCAAAGCATTCCCCATCCCATGTGCTTTTCCCTTAACTTCATTTGGTTTCTATATAATACTTGTGTAGGTGTGTCCCTCTGTGTGTATTTCATTTGGTTAACATATACTTTTGAATTCTGATCTGTCAGTGCATGTAAATCAATTCATCCTCTTTGCATTCTCTTATTGCAATTTCCATTATCAAGTCAGGAGCAATTGAGGGCAACACATCACAACAGTGCCTTCTTGGAGTCTTCAACTGAATACAAAAGAATAATTTATAAGTACAGTTACCAATGCAAAGTCATCTCCTAATAGCCCTGAAGAAATACCAGTGAGTAAAATAGATTACCTGTTTGATGTCAAGGTCTAGCTTGTTTGTGGTCACTATGATCACTTCTGGTCTATTCCGTGATGCCTTGTCATATGAGCAATTTTGGAAAGATTTTCTGTAACTGCTTATGATGCCACCTTTACCATGGGACAAATTGTCTAGATAGAAGATGATGGGCCTTCTACATGGGTCAGGGTGAAATTCTCTTGTATTGAAAGTATATAGGTCTTGCATCAAAGTTCCTTTTGTCCAGTACTTGAATGATCCTTGAACTCTCACAACATCTGGCAAAAACAAATGGTTTTGGAATATCTGAACAGCATAACCCCAAGACACTGAAATTGTCCATGAAAACCTTCTGTCATAGCAAACTGTTTGTTGTAGAATCCTCTGGGAATCAACAGTCACTGCTTCAAATAAATGATGTAGAGCTTGTGTATTGGTCATGTTAGGAAAGATTGGATCAATGTTATCCGGGTGATGCAAGGACAGCAAGGGAGTTACTGGATGTGCAGCCAATAGGCCAAAGGCATTCCCCTTCAAATCAACCTGATCCAATTTCATAATCACAAAATAGAGTATTATCAAGGAGGTTAAGAAAAGAGTTGTGTCAAGGCAATACAAGAAGTTAGATAACATGATTCAAACATATAACCTCTTAATTACATGGCAATAACACCAACAGTTGTGTCAATGTGAAGGACAAAATAAAGTAAAAACACGAACATATTTTTCAGCATTTTGAAACTAATATTTACCTGATGAAAACCTGGTTCATATGTTAATCCAACACCGAGTTCTGTTATGCAAGAGTACACCCTGGCATCACTTCCATACACATGCGAGTACCTTTCAATACAGGAATCAAAAACCTTAGCCAAAACCTTTGCCAAAGAGGAACTGATAGCAAAACCTGCTCCACCATAAGCCATATCAAAACCAAAGAACCAGTTCTGCTTATAACTCTCCGAGTTTGCACCAACATAGTGCCAAAGCCTATGATCATATTTGGAAAGAGTTTTCACCAGATTCTCGGGGAAGAAAACCGTGTCATCATCCCCAAACACATACCATCTAACATTTGAATGATTCAGTGCCACAGTCTCTTTCACAACACGTGCACCACGGATTGCTGATCTAAGACCACCCCGGTAAGTGTAGCGAAACTTTGAAGTATCTTCAGAGACACATAAAGGAGGAAGAGAATAATCATTTTTAGCATTTTCTTCAACTGGGGTTGGGAGGCTATCCACAAATACACATCCTTTCATTCTTATGTTGGGTTTCCACCACAGTTTTGTGTACTCCTTCCTCATAGGCCATGATGTCACACTTGAAGCAATTCCAAACACTAGATGATCAAGAGTGGTTGGTTCATACACATCTTGTGTTGAAGAATGCTTTGATGTGCTTAATATTAACATCGATCCAAGGATATAAATGGCAAAAATTGAAGAGCAGACTAAAAGCAAGTTTATCATAGATTGAGTTTTGGTTGTTTTCTGAAGTAAATGCATGTTAACGACGGAATTGAATTGAATTTGATTCTGCAGATGCAGAGTATTTCTCTGCCAAATGTAAGAAAGGATTGCACACTAATTTCAAAATATATATATATATATATATATATATATATATATATATATATATATATATATATAGAGAGGTAGGATACTTTGACACCGGTGTCAAATTTTAATTTTGACACCTCATTTCAGAACCGTTAGATCAAAAAAATCAAAAAAGATCAATAGTGTCACATGTTTACAAATCAGAGTCATTGATTTTTTTTTATCTAACGGTTCTGAGATGAGGTGTCAAAATTGAAATTTGACACCGGTGTCAAAGGATCCTACCTCATATATATATATATTGAAAAAGTATTTATACAGCAGCCACTTTATACAGCTACCCTTATTAATTAAGTACAATACTTAATTATAACAATAAAGTTGTTTTTTTTTTCTCTCTCTTCAGACATTGTCGGCTGATGTGGCGGAGAGAGAAAATGTAATTTCTATGTATCACCAGTAATAATTAGTTAAAAAGGTAGTTGTAGACAACTTTATCTAAAGTGTCTTCAAAAATATTTATCCCACATATATATATTGATTTAGGAAATAGAATAATTCGTTATTTGTTAATTATTGTGTTATTTCTAATGATTTCAAAACTTGTTTGTATATAAGGAATATTTAATTAACTTTTAGATTTTTATATTAGTATGTTAAAATTTATTTTGGTTATAATTTCATATTTTAGTAAATTATTTTTTGAATTTTGTATTCAATTATGTTTATTTTTAAAGATTCTTATTATTTTTAAGCTACAAATATCCTTTAAAATTAAAAAAAAAAATTGCATATTTTTATGATATTAAAAAAAAAAATTCAGAGAAGACCTAGAATCTAGTGCAGTAGAATACTCAAAACCTAAGTGCCACCGTAACCGGAGGCGTACGCAAGGTTGGGAACTTTGACGTAATTTAGTTTACTTTCTTCAATGTTTATTCCACGAGGTTGGTCTGTACCCAAAAGAAACCCAAGCACTCATTACGATTAGGACCTTACTTTTGGTGAAGGCCATTAGATTCAAAGTCAATCAATGGAGAAGGCAACCTTTCATTATAGACCAAGTTGAGAATAAATTTTGTTCATACTAAACCGTTTGTTGGACAAGATAAAATAAGAATAGATAAGATAAGATTGCGAATAAGAATAGAACATAATATATGATTGATAAATTCATATTCCATCTCGTGTTTAATGTGCATTAGATAAGCAATTTAATTAGTTAATGTTATTATATCTAATATTTGAGACGAATCATATAATGTCATGATATGAAATAAATAGATAAAAATACCTTTTTAAACATAATTTTATATATGCTTTTTTAAAAGGGCTTATCGTTTCTCAAGCTACGGGAGATAAAATCTCTGGCAAATAAATTATAACCATACCAAAATGGATCAATGGTAATGAAGGAAGAGAAAGAAAAAGGAATCATGATCATACAAAGGTGAATCAATTAATATAAGAAAATAAATAAACAAAACGACGTAGTTTTAGGGTGGCCGGAAATAAACTTATCTCGAGTTGTCGGAGAAATATTTTTCCCTTTTTAAAATTGAATTTTAAATTATTTTTTATTTATTTTCACATTAGCTCTTATTTTCAATTATTAAAAAAATTTAAAAGTCATAACTTTAAATTAAATATGGGTTTTCGTTTTATCCTTTAACATAATATAACAAACTTTCCTACTCTCACAATATTTTGTGGGGCCCACACTTTTTAAAACAAAAAAATAAATAAAAAATTAAGGCACGCAAAACGAATCTCTATAACATTACACAATCACTTTTCCTACAACATAACTCTTATAAAACCCATTAAATATATTAAAATACATAATTAACTTACAAATTTTTTAAAAATAAAATAAATATACTGTCATCAAATTAATATTTAAAAATTAAATTTTAAATTGATTGTCAATAGTAATAGTCGGTGACTAGTGACAATGATGTTAGTGGTGATTATAGGAGATGGTGGAAATAGGTGATGAAGCTCCATACCCAGATTTCATTTTCCTTGTACCTTCACTACTAGAAACGGAGACTCTTTGACCTTCACACTTTAGCAAAAGTTTTCTCCCAAGAAAACCACATCAGGTTCACCAACCATCTGTCTCCCCTTGGATGATCCACCATATGAGAGACTCAGCAAGTTCAAATTTTTCTTGCTAAGGGTTCTGCTCGAAACAGAAATCGAGTGATCCATGGCACACAACAACAAAGGCAAAACAAAAACGTTTTCTTTTTTCATCTATTTTTCTTACTTTGACAAAAGTTTTCTCGCAAGAAAACCACATTAGGTTCACCAACCCTCTATCTCTCCTTAGATGATCCACCATCTGAGAGACTCAGCAAGTTATGGGGTCCATCATCTAAAGCTATTTTTCATCAAGTGCAGCCATGTGAAATTTCAGCAAGGCAAAAGGTAAACAACCAATAAGATGATCAGCCTATACATTTCTCACTCGATCAGTATTTACATGCAAACAAAGGCCGAGACGGTTCTCACCCCTAGTATAGAATGAAGACTGGGACGGTTCTCACCCCCCCTCCCCCCAATAACACTTTATTCTTGGCAGAAAAAACACCCCCGAAGACTAGGCAAGTCTCCACCCCTGATAAAAGTCCTGGATGACGATTGCCAAACTAGGAAACAAGGTCAGGACAGGTCTCACCCCAAGAATACAATGAAGATCGGGACGGTTCTCACCCTCGGTATACGATGAAGACTGGGACGGTTCTCACAACCACTAGCACTTTATTTTAGGCGAGAAAAACACCCCCGAAGACTAGACAGGTCTCCACCCCTAGTAAAAATCCTAGATGAGAATTTCCCAACTAGGCAACGGCCAGGACGGTTCTCACCTCTGGTATACATTGAAGGTCAGGACAATTCTCACCCCCGGTATACGATGAAGACTAGGACGATTCTCATCCTCAGTAGAACTTTAATCCGAGCAGAAAAAATGCCCCCGAAGACTGGTCAGGTCTCCACCCCCAGTTACACTCAAGACTAGGCCAGCACTCTCAAAAAATTAAAAAACCTGGGACAATTCCCACCCCTAGTATCTCTGAAGACCAGGCAGTCTCCATCCTTGGTCAAAGTCCTAGATGGACAACGTTTGACCAATGTCCCATCTAGGCACGTTATTATTATGTTATTATGTTAGTTGTTGCAAGTTGATAATCAACAAGCAAAACATCCGAGCGACCAGACTTCAAAGACCCAACTTATTGGGTATTATTCATTATTTACAACCCTATTCCAGATGACTACAATCCATTCTTTCACAAAAAGAAGGTCTATAAGGCTATTACGGGTTGTGGAAGAATAGACCGTAGCCATGCATATGAGTTGAGATTACAAGCTTACGCATAGCAGAGAAAGAAAGAGAAAGAAAGAGAAGATTCTTTTGGAGCACTCAAGCATCACCGACCAGACAATCCATACTTAAAGATAACAAATAAACAAGACATGAAGGCTGACGTATTATCGCTCAATTATATTGTATCCCACTTTTACCACTGCACATTATGGACGGCTAACTCGAATTCCTACACATCTTGGCAACTTGGTTGCGCAAGCTAACAAGCTGGGGGGGCTTTTGTTCTGGCATGCCCTTTTAGGCCCGATCCATCAGGCTCAATAGCAAATGCCCACATCTAAACCTTCTAGAGGGCACCCTTATCACATAGGATTCCCCTTCTCCCCATACATTGATGCCCATTGTACATTGACAGTAGGGCAACATGCCTAGTCACAAAGACTAGGCTTGGCTAGGTAGGACAGTTCTAGGGACAGACCCCTTTCTCTCTCCCACGCCGGTGAGTCTTCTCCTCTATAAATATCCCCTTCACCAATTGAGAGGGCATCTTCAAATCTACTCTCTTGATGAGCTGTTATTATGCTACAATGTGGAGCCACCATAGCCATTTTCACACACTCCCCTTTTTATGTTTAGCACATAGGAAGCTTTAACAATGCTTTGGTTTCTACTACTGACGCTATGAATACCCCTAGATTGACATAGTTCACTCTCCAATATAGGGCGTTTTAGGAATTGAATTTCTTCCTTACAATATGAATTTTACCAAAATTCAATTTTATCTCATTTGAATAGAGAAATACTAAATACTAAACCTTAAAAAAAGTTGCCCAACATATTTTAAAACATTTTTAGCATTTCAAACTAATAATAGTAGAGTTGTGTCAATATGTATCGATCCACCCCATTAGTTCCTAATTCATGTGGGGCAGGGATTAAAAGCCAACAAGGCTAAAAATCTCTCTGAGCCAAAAATCTTAGAAGCCTTGTGGGCTAGGGGTAACCAATAAGGCTTCCACACCTATACTTTCAAAAATAAAATAAAATAAAATAAAGGGTTCATTTTTTCTGCAGTTACTGCAGATAAGTTATCTGCAGTAAGTCTAATACGATGTCGTTTTGGCCGGAAATCATGGTGTTTTGTAATTTTAATTTATTTCAGGGTTATAATAGTAATTATATTTATAATTTTTAAAGATTTCAATACCAAAACGACGTCATTTTGAAAAAAATGCAGATAACTTATCTGCAGTAACAGCAGAAACATTTTTCCCTAAAATAAAACACATAAATAATACTTTTTCACCTCTTTTATCCGATTGGTTGCATTCAAAACTGTTTCAATAAATACACACTTAACATTTTCCCGAAATATTCTACACGTAATATTGATTTTTCAAAATTTAATTTTTCGAAGTAAGTAACATTTACACACAATTATGCAGCTCAATGTATCAGATTCTGAATTATATTTCCATGTGCAAAAGAGTAGAAACATTTAACACTCCTATTTTCAAAT